ACTGAGAGGCCAGATTTACTCACCCCGTTACAGTTAGCTAGGGCATACTCACCAGTAACGAAATGCTCTGTTCGATTCCAATAACGGGAGTCAACAGAAAGGAAAAGGACCAATTCAATGACGGGTGAGCCTGGTTCGAAGAGTCAATTGGATCCAATTTCAGAAGACTTCGAATCTAGGTCCTATTATGGGCCTCTTATCCAATATAAGACCTGACTTGGTCGGGCAATCCAATGTAGTCTGATTACGGGCTTCGATTTTGTTTCAAGTTGTTCCGATTCTTTGTACCGTTTCGGGAACGTCGTTTTGGGAAAAGGATCTCTTAAAGGCAAAAATAGGAGGAAGAAAGCTCCATCAGCTATTCCAATTCAGGAAATCCAAGGCGGAAGAATAGGATCTTCTCAAGGTTAAAGGGGAGGATAGGTTAAGAAATGAGGAAGGGAGAATCGGGATTTTAAAGATCGGAGAGCTAGCTTCACGCTTGAAAAGACAGAGAGTTGGGAGTTTTTTTTCTTCATAGGATTTTGGGAAGACTGAGGCAATCGTTGTCGAAAGTCAGTGATATATTGGTGAACTGGATTTTCCGTAAGAGAGAAAAAGGCTGGTACTCTTGATTGTTGTTGGAATGGGGAATACTTCTGAGGTTGAAATTCAGAGTTATCTAGAAGGTTGAGTATGCTGAATGCATGTGTGGTTGTGTTAATCTGACTGTACGGATAGAGGATATCTGCCAACAGTTTAAAGAGGTTTTGGAAGTTGGCAAATTGGGGTTTATTTTGGATTTCTATGATAACTAGGGACCTATCGACAGAGATAAGAGGAATATCGACGAGCGGCCAAGGGACATCGATGCGAATTGTAACATAGCCTCACAATCTGTAAGCGGGGTTGAACTGGAACTTCTTGAGCATTCGAAAGGGCTTGCAGAGACACTAGTGATAGATGTTTCACAACAAGTCGGAAGGGTAGGTTGAGGATCACAGCTTGCCGAAGTTCACGGTCTAGGATTAAGGTAATTAACAATAAAGATAAAATAAAAAACATAAAATAAATAAAATAAAATAAAAATAACAAAAGAGATTGAAGTTATATAGGGTCTCTAGGCATTTTATATTGAAATTAAGCTTTTACATTGCAATCCGATATAGATTGTATTTGGGTGGTCAAGAACCCGATAGACTGCTTGAGTACTAGCGAAACACCATACTACCTCCTACAGCCAGACGCCACGCGCGTTCTCAAGCAAATTAGTACGTAATACAACAACGTGGGAGCCAACTAAAAATCTCGCCAATGAGTCGCAAAAGGTATAAGAATTTCATCAACAACATCCTCATAAACCTATGCCGGTTCGACGATAGCTTCCTTCTAAAGCTTGCTCACCCAAGAATATAAGAAAAGAGGGAGAGCACCACCAAAATTCGTAGTTGATGTAATTATTTTCTCCAAGATAAAGTAGAATTTTTTCAGTAGCCATAGTTTGGTCTTCTGATATGGATAGCCAAGAGATAGATACTATATCAGTCAGATTATCTCAACCAACTACCTCACGAAGGTGACCCCGAGATAAAGAACTGCCTACACCATGACGACGACGGAAGATACTGAGTAACTGATCATTGGTGATTGTATTTGAGTTCGAATCTGCTTACGATGGTCAACCAGAAGGTGTGTTTGCAGGACAATTTTACAATGAGGACATGGAAGTTCATGCTTGGTCAGAAGTCGAAGGCGTGGGCCACTACCGTTGACTTCAAGGACCGATGAACCACTTGCCTCGTGAATAACAATTGGAGTTCATAGCAGACGTTATGCGATAGATCTTCATTTTCTTGCATTGGTACTAATTAACAACAACATTGCTTCTCAGAGACCTCGAAGCTAAAGGAGGGGGTGATGTTAGGGACACAGTCCTTAGAACCTTCTAGAGACAAGTTTCTAGAACCTTCTAGAAGCAAGTCTCTGGAACCTTCTAGAAGCTTCTTAGTTGGTAGAAGATGTTAGGGACATAGTCCTTAGAACCTTCTAGAGACAAGTTTCTAGATCCTTCTAGAAGCAAGTCTCTGGAACCTTCTAGAAGCTTCCTAGTTGGTAGAAGTTGCTTAAGAAGCTTCCTAAATAGGAGTATATATTGGAATCGAGGTTAAAGAGTTCTTCAGTCTCGACAACACATCTTTTGGAGCTCTAGCTCACCTCTCTGGTGTTGTTCTTGTATTCATCTGATTAATCTAGTTCTTGTTAGTTCTTCTCGAACTTCTTGTTAGATCTCAAGCCTATATTTCTGTGTCCATGACAAAGATAAATAATGGATATTGTGTCAACTATGTATTGTGTAATTAATTGTTAATATTGTCTTTTTTAGTAACATCACAACTTGCACTGATCTTTTATTTGCTGCATATTATATAAAATATGAAAAAATATTTGTAATAAAATAAGGTGCTAGAAAGTATTTTTAGTATATTCTATATTTAATTAGAAAGAAAGTAGTTGATTTATTTGCATTGCAATATTGTAATCTTTTTATCTTTACTTACCAATTCTTTTAAGAGTATATATATGGTTTTATTGATATTGACATCTTTAAATAAAATTATTTGATTATAAATATTGGAACATTAATTGGTGGTACCACTCCATTATCCAAGTTTTATAATAATTTCAAAATCTTCTATAATATGACAACCATAAAAATATATATATATATATATATATATATATATATATATATTTTAATATATTTTAATATATTTTGTATATACTTTTAATTAATTTTTAAGATACAATTATATAAAAGTAGCCACTCTATTTGCTTATAAAGACATAGTAGTCATTAGCAATAAAATATTAATATCAACAATACTATCTACAAATATTGCTAGTCCTTTTTTTAAAATAGTTAACTTATTATTGAAGATTTTGTAATTATCATTAAGAGAATATATATATATATATATATATATATATATATATATATTTATTTATTTATTTATTTATTTAAACATATTATTATAATTCATTAAATTTTATTTTTTTATAATTTTTTTAATGTTTTAAAAACCTTCAAATATATTTAAGATCATGGTTAATTTATTAAAACTTTAAATCACATAATCAACTAATCTTTATTATATTTTTGTTACATGAATGTCAAAAAACTTGTTATGTATTTTTTAAAATAATTAATGAAGAAATATTGTTTTAAATTTTTCATCACTCTTAAAAGGCATTGCAACTTCGTTGAGAAAAACCGTTACCATTTTGCACTAATACTTCTAAGTGAGATGTTTTAGATATTAGAGATTCATATTTACAGAAGATATGTTTTGTTGTTTCTTACTTCAATAAATATTACAAATCGCTGAAGTCATTACAAGATTCTATTTATCTTCTAATTATTGGTAATGTTATAAGTGAGTAATTCTACATCCATTGTAAAGTTACATGATGATAACAAATATGTTATAATTTAAAGTTGTATGCATAAAAAGAAAATACAGAGATATTAAATTCATCAAATTCAAGTGAAACATTTGAAACTTTACAAATATAAAAATGGAATAGAAATTTTATTACACCATATTAATCATTTTTCAAAAATAATTATAATAGTGCTAAAATCAAACAATGTTAGATACCACCACATGCAAATTGTGGAAGTTTTACATAAATATGAGACTATTTTAATAATAAAATGACCACCTAAGCTCCTCAAGTGGAATGAAACTAAATGAAAAAAGTGCCACAAAATCTGCAACCGCAGAAGAGCGTCAAATCAAATCACAACTCTGTGGAGCACAATATCTCTTCAGAAAGTTATAAGTTAAATGAGTCTTAATTCAAATAAATTACACAACTACCATGTGTTACACCATCTATGGTTGTGGCCAAAGTCGTATCGGATGCAACTGCTTTCTGTTGAAAAGAACAAGTAATGGTTACAAAGACGAAGCAAGCTTCATCAACTTTGCCAGATTTGAGCAATTTATCTCCATTGGAATGGCTTGATTCGGCAAAGTATTGTTCCGTGAAGATCTCCACCAACAGCAAGACCTGAAGATTGAAGGATGCCGACCTCTAAACGAAACAACTCGGAGGCATTACCAGATCTGAGCAGCTGCACAGCTTTACCTAATGTGGATTTGAGAATGGAATAGAGTTCAATTCAGTTCAATTAACCATTGCAACTCTTGAATTAATGTCCATACCTTGGCCTTCATGTATTTTGTGTGCCAGTGCTTACATGGGCAACGTCAGGTGCAACTATAAGTTATTTGACTTCTGGTTTGGAGCTCATCGTCTCATGGTGCCAGCTGAGGACTTTCAAAATAGTCGACTTATTAGACGTTGCACAGATGTAGGGTTTGCTACACTCAATCTATCACGTTGTCTGGTGTGATTAGTACTGTCTTTCTGGTTTAAGAATACGCACATGAATATCTGAAGCCTGACGATGTCCCATTGGATTTGCGTTTCAGGTACAACCAGTTTTGAGTAGGCGCGTCCTCACGGTGAGGCTGTTGTCCAGATTTCTAATAAGGGGTGTTCACATATTCGAGAATGAGAGTGCTTCAATGCTTAGCCAACAAGGCCAGCCATGGCGGTGGTTGATGCAGACGTTCGCTTGTACAATGAACTCGAAGCAATGTTTTCAGAGACTGCACAAAACCTCAGACCTGTAAGCTTGCGTCATCAAACGGACAACTCACGTAGAGATCTCTCAGTATCTCTCACAGCCAGAATGCAGAGTTGCAGGATTGGCAATGGCAGTTTGAATGCACGAAGCCATTTCAACCCAACAATAGAACTTCGTGCTAAAAAAGCATGAAAATTACGTACTTCATATTTCCTGTATCCATGTGATTATGAGCAGTTTCAGTTGTAAACTTGAACTGTGTAGGATCGTAAAATCGGTTGATTCTTACACAATTGCACAAGCAGAGCACAGAGTGGCAACGGGGCCCTTAAAGCAGGCAATGCATGAAGAAGCGCACCAGTGATTATCACAAAACAACCTACATTGAACAGTCTTACAAGTGAAAATTGTCACAATTGTACAAGATTGAAACGTAAGCACATGTATTCCCAAACAGATTGGTTGGATCCAGCTGCCTCAATCTGGAACATAAACCGACCGTCCATGGAAGCTGGTAGCTCTCTTTATCGGTGAAATTTTAATTCTGAGAGGTTTCATGAGGCAAACAATCAACGGCCACTGAGAATAATCTGCGGAGTTGAATCTCCAATGCAGAGCCTCGACGATTAATCAACTCCTGAGAGCCGCTTTATTAGATTTCTCTGTAAGAAAATGTGCCAACATGTCCTCTTCAAAACCTTCGTCGTCATCGTCGCTAAAATCGATATCTTCATCGTCATCGTCGTCGCCAATGTCTTCGTCATCCTCTTCAAGTACCTTGCCTCCAGCCTTGAGCTCAAACCATTGCCGCCCACCAATCCTCTTCTCCTTGGAAGCCATCAACGCAGAGTCTGGCATCAGTTTAGCCTTCTCCAGAGCAACCTCAGCTTCATACCTATCCCTCCAAGCCATAAAGCTCTCGACCGTAACTACCTCCCCATGCTTCTCAATTACCTCCTCCTTCTCTATGTCATCCTCCGAATCTTCCTCAACCTCCACCTGGCCGAACTTCTCCCGCAACCACTCCTTGGCCGACACTGCTAATGTGTACATCATCGCCATGCCCAAATTCTCCTGCGCCTCCTCCTCCAGCTTCCCCTGCAGCTGCCGGATGTCTGCGTCGTTGATTCCTTTCAGGCTTCGCACCTTGAGCAATGGCATCTCATCGGGATACGCTGGGGTGTGCGCGAAGATAACAGCCAATCGCACAGGAACGTCTGTGGGTTCGTCTTCGTCATCGTCCATGGGCGAAACCCTAATCTGAAAACACCGAGCACTCGTTCCTAATCCACTTTCCAGGCTAGGAATCTCCTCAATATCATCCATTAAAATCGCCTGCAGTGCCTCTATCTCCATCTCCTGCTCTCCCTCATGATCCGTCATCTTGTCCCTTCAACCCTAATCCTCCAAGCCAAACACAACACCTTAACACCTGCTAACTCCTTCCTTCTCAAGAGATATTCCGAAGCTCCCAATCCTACACCAAAACATCACTTTGCAAACCACCCAACTTACAAAACCTCGCATTCCCTCAGAATCTCCCCAATCCATTTGCAAGAAATGCAGCCTGCTGCGAGAACGACCTAGAAATCAAGCAGCTTCAGAAGTCGAAAATCATCCAGAACTGGCACTACATAGATGAAATAGTGCAAGCTAATCACAGCATGAGCAGCTGGCTTCATTGAACGCCCGATGAAAATACTCAATCAAATGTTGATCTTGGAGACTTCAGACATTCAGTGACCAGAGTCAACTGCAATGTTCACTTAGTCCAGAACTTTAACCACACGATTGCTTTGCGACACCATCCAAGATCCTGTGCTTCTGATAATCCGACGCCATCCGTCATTCCCTCGGACTCCATCAAGTTTGAATCAGGAACTTGTGCGTTTACATGGGCTGATAGTGCACCCTGTGCGAGTTCTCACCCTCCACTCGGCAGCATTAACAAGATTTCTGCAACGGAAACCACCCAGTCTTGCTTGGGTTGTTGGATCAACTCTTGAACAGAATTCCGTGTGCACTTGAGTGCTTTCCCTCCCAGTGAGCCCAACTTGCTTACGGCATATGATTGAAGACTTATGGTTGAGAGTCGTTGAATTGGTGGATATGTGGGTTGTGGCTTCTTCATCATCAGGAGAAAGCCATGAAGACATCATCTTGTTTTTGCAAGTTTATTAATCTAAGGTGGTGGGCTTGCTCCATATGTGTCAAAAAATAATTAATATATACATTAGTAAAACCTAAAGCCAACAAGAAAGGGCACACAAGGCTTGTTTTGCCGTACATAAAGATGTCAAGGATTTCATTGCAACACACGGGAGTTTCTTTTTTCATTCTTTACTCAAATGCTTATCATCATCAATGGTCAAAGCTTACCTTAGTAGAGTAAAATACAAAGAGTATGGTTTTTTATTTTTTTTATTTTTTAAGTTTAGATGTCTATGGATCATATGAAAGATGAAAGCAAGAACATGTGGATGATCAAAGGAGGTAGTCTCTGAGATCATTGGATTGTTAGATGTATTCAAAAGCAAAATATTTGTGATGCTCTAAAATTTTCAAAAAATACTGAAAAAAAAAATGTAAATAATTTCTTGACCAAATAAAATTACTTAAGAATACATATTAGAAGTTGGAAACATCTCTAAACACAATTAAATTTATAATAACATGATATCATTGTAGAGTCATAGAAAAATTAAATAAAATAGTAATAAAAAATACTATTTAGAATGCTTAGATAATTTTTCTAAATATAATATGATTTAATATTATCTTTACATATGTAATATTTTTGTATTTGTGTGTATGTGTGTAAATTCAAGTGGGTTGTAATCACAAAAATTTGATATATCTAAGATTTTTTAAAATTGATAGGATGTATTTTTGGTTAATTGAGAATTTACTTTGGTTATTTAAGGATACCAAAGAATATTTCTAAATATCTTATACATTATTTTGGATAGTAGATCAAACTTTATGATAAGTTCAAATCCTTCCACAACCAAATGCTTTGAGTATTCTTAGATTAGTTTTCATATAATATGACATTATTGATAAGAATAAAAAAAAGGCATCATTCTTATCTCCATATATATTATCGTACCAAATGATTGTGTAGCAACGTTCTATAAGTTATTTGACGCATGTCTAACTTTCAAAATAAGTTTCAAAATAAGTTTCAAATATGTGCATCATATAGCCAACTTGTATGTTAAGTAATCAACATGTATGACATGTAGCTAAGTTGTAAAGCAAGTAGTCAACATGTATAATAAGTGGCTAAAGTTTTAGCCAAGTTTTCAACCTATGAATCATATATCAACATTTGAAAAGTCGAATCCATTGTTGTGTTATAATACAACTATTAAGTAAAAGAAGAAAGGAAAGATTATATTATAGAAGAGCTTAAATAAAAATATTTTAGCAAATTATCTTTAAAATATAGATAAAAGGCAAGAAAGTATTAAAAATTTAAAAATGTTAATGTTTATTTCTTATAAAAGAGGCTTCTCCTTACTTTGTAAAACAATAAATAATCCAAAACAAAGTAAAATAAATAAATAAATTACATAAATCTTTAGAAAGGAATTAGGATTTGGTTTCAGCAAAAATTATTCCAAAATGCCAAAAATTGCTACTTAGAGAGGACCAATTGTGAACTATTGTCAAATTCAAACCTCAAGGCACAAAACCACACACCTATGGTAATTCCAAGGTTCTTTGATTGATCAAAGTACAAGATTTCAAAGTATAATAGTAAAAGATTTTTTAAGAGTTAGTTTTATGTAATTTGAAGACATGTTGAAGTTTTGAGGGCTTTTCAAAGTAAAAGATGTATTTAGTAGTTTTGGTTTTTGAGAAATAAAAAGATATTTACAATTTTAAATATTATGTGAGTATTAAAATAAATTTATAAGTAAAATTTTATAAATTTTTTATTATATTTTTTTGATATATATATTTATATATATTTATTTATATCAATCAAATAATTTAATTAAAAGATATGAGGGCTTTATTGGACTAAAAACTCGGATATTTGAAATTTAAGATCAATGAGGGTTTCTAAAATCTTAAAAAATCTATTAATTCAATTGAACTAAAAAAATTATAAGAGTAATTTAAATTTAAAAATCTACACACAAATTAATTTTTGAAGCAATAAAATAGTTCAGCAAAGGGAAATTGCTATTAAAAGATCAACATCTAGATTAGAAAAAGAAAGCAACCAATGCTCAAGAGATTTAGGAGATTTTTTTTTATTAGCAATTTCAATTTTTTTTCAAATTTTGTTTGCTTATTAATTGCTTATGGATTGAAATATGGATAAAATTTGAGTTAAGATCAATAGTTTGATTAGTATTTATTGACATTTTAAAAAGGCTATAGAAATTGATCAAGATTTATTTGAGTTATTTTGGATTTATTTAGGCTCTTTTTAGGATTTAATAAGAGTTTCATTTAAGTATGATTAGAATTTAGGATTTGTTTAGAATTCAATTAGAATTGATTTAGGATTTCATTGTATTTGATTTAGAATTATATTAAAATTTAATTAATATATTATTAGAATTTATTTAAGATTTGATTATGATTTTATTAGAATTTGGTTAAGATTGGTTTAAAATTTTATTAATATTTTTTTTAGATTTTATTAAGATTTGATTAGGATTATTTAAATTTTTTTTAAATATTTTATTAGGATTTAAGATTTGATTAAGATGTAATTGGAATTTTATTAGGATTTATTTAAGATTTGATTACAATTGATTTAAGATTTTCTTAGAATTAGTTGAGGGTTACGTTAAAGTTTGGTTAGGATTCACTTAAGATTTCTATTTTAAATATTTTTTAAAGATTTCTTTGATATTTTTTTAGGATTTTTTTGTTATATATATTTCTTTAAGATTAATTTATAATATCTTTATGTTTCTATTGTAATTTCTTTAAGACTTCTTTTAAATTTGATTAAAGATTGATTAATATTATTAAGATTTATTTAAGATCATATTAGAGTTGTTAGGACTTTTTTGTTGTAAATTCTATTTTATCTTCTATAGCTAGATATCTAGTGTGTTCTCAAGAAAACTTTATGAAATACAACACCACATCTATATAGTTTCTAAGAATTTTCTTTATAAGATATTACTTAATTAATTTGCTTCAACTTATTTATATTTAACTCCTCTAATGTAGGTCATTAATAATGTATGCATATATATATAGATAGATAGATAGATAGATAGATAGATAGATATAGATATACATATCCTTGATATTATTTTCTTTTGAAGATAATATGCACTACTTATTCAAATTTATAAGATGGCCTTAATTAAGATTTCTTTGTAATTGATAGTGTAAAGAGAGAAAAGTAATTAATAAATAAATTAATTAATAATCAATTGATTACAAAGAATTAATTGAGTCAAAAATATGAAATAAGTATAGCTAAGAAATTATATACTATAAAAAAGTCATAATTAATTTATTAGAATGTAATAAAATAAAAAATTAAATTAAAAAATCAAAAGATATATTTTTAGGTAGTTAATTTTTTATCTTTTTAATGAAAAAAAAATATAAATCCAAATTAATGTGAATAAATTATGATGGTTTAAAGATTTAATAAAAATATTTTAAAAATTAAGTGAATAATTTTTACCTTAAAAATAACTTGTTTAAGAGATCAAGAATTCAAGCCTCACAAAGACTCACAAATAGTATATAAAGATATTTAACAAAGTTTTTAGGCTTTAGTCTTATTTTTCTACCTGCATCAAAGGTGCTATAAGCCATATAGGACTTGTGCACCTATCTTTTTACAAGAATTACATTAGTTGCTAGTTCTTATATTTTCTACTAGTAAAATTAATGTTTTTGTATTTTTGACTTTTTTTTAGTATTTAAAGATACCAAAGTAGCTTTAAGAACCTTGCTTACTACAAAAAGATAAGAGTTAATATTCTGAGAAGACCGGTTGTCAACCAAGATTAAAATCAAAATCCAAGGTGCAAAACCAATTACTTATAGTGATTCCAAGGTACTTTTGCAAATCAAAGAATTAAATTTAAAAGTAAACTTGAAAAGAGATTTTTTAGTATTAATTTTATATCATTTGGATTAATATTGAGATTTTGAAGGATTTTCAAAGTTAGTAATGTACTTGGTGGGTTTAGATTTTATTTCTCAAAAATTAATAACTTTTGAGAAATAAAAATAAATTTACAAATTTGAAGGTTTTTTAAATTTAATAGAATGTATATAAATAAAAATTAGGTAGTTCGATATTATGTTTGATATAAATGTGTATGAAAAATTTGACATCAATCAAGGAATTAGATTAAAGAATATGAGGATTTTTGTGAGTAATGGTTTTGAAAATTTGAAATTTAGGATTGATAAATAATTCTAAGATCTAGCAATATTTGCTAATTGAATGGAAGTAAAATTTACTAAAAGTAATTAAGACTTGTATGTCTGAACATAATCCAATTTTTGGAGCAATTGAATGATCCAAAAAGGAGAAATTGGTGTTGAAATATCAACATTTAAGTTGGAAAAGAAAGGCAATCAATAATCTAAAGGTTTTTGAAGCTTTTTTTATAATTGATAGGTCCAATTCTTCTTAAATTTTTTATACTTATTAATTTCTTGTTGTTGAAGTTTGTGTGAAATTTTAGTCAAGACTTATGATTTAATTAATATTTATTGAGGTTTCAAAAAGCTATAGTAATTGATTGAAATTTACTTATAATTTTCTTAAAGTTATTTAAGATTTAAGATTGTTTAGAATTTGGTGTTTTATTAGGATTTGGTCTAAGATTAGGATTTATGATTTTTTTAGGATTTGATTAGGATTTAGGATTTCATTGAAATTTGATTGAGAATTAGAATTTAGAATTTGCTTAGAATTTGAGTAAGATTTATTTAGAATTTAATGAAGATTTTTTTAAGATTTAGGATTTTATTAAGGTTTTGTTGAGATTGGTTTAGAATTTCATTAAGATTTGTTGAAGGTTAAAT